CCCGCCGAGTTTTGGTTTTTCACTCTAAGAAGGTGCTGCTTTTGAACGTCATGCAGCTTTAAAGGTTTTGGTTGTTCCAATAATCAAGCGCATTATCAAAAGTAAAAAACTTTCTTGAAAGATAGAAATACAACTTTATGGTGGGGTTGCTTATTTGAATAAGAAAATGTTAGATATCTTCACTATTTTGCGATTTAAACTTGATAGGTCAATTCCTCTATATAATCTGGAGACTAGATAGGGTTCTAATTAATTATGGGGACTTCTTCTTTCTGTAGGGGCAAGCGCCAACAATTAATTGCATCTTAAGTGATCGTGGATACTTAAAAGAACTCTCGATTAAGGCTGCAATTTTTATCCTCATGAAATCTCTAAGTTCAAATTTCCTGGATTGGATATTAGACTTTTTTGTTAACGGAAACCAAAAAGAGGGAAGGGTGGGGGACTCATGGAGATACAGAGAAAATCTCGGCAACATCCTAGACTATTCTATTGTTTGTCATTTTTTTATTTTCAAAGAAAATTTTGATATTGTTAAAATGTTAGGGCTTACACTACACGACCTACCATCATGTGGGAGCCTACTGATAATCCGAGTGAAAAGGCTGGAATATAAATGTCAACTTATGGTTTGGACGGACCTATCGAACAAATTGACGACATGGGCACTAACCCTAACTTATGTCAGACTCATCAATTGACATCATTCAAACTATTATTGGTGGTTTAGTTGATCTTTATCCTTTACTTCATGTTTTGTCTTATTTTGGGTAGTTTGGGTGTTTATAGTTAGTTGACCCTAACATTGCCCTGTTGACCGCAATTTTGGTGAGGTCTTTTCTTCCTCTTAGTGTAGTGCTTAGGATTTAGCCATAGGACTTTCCTTTTGACTATCCTAGAAGATTAGAGATGGAGCCAACCTTCATAGACATTCAAACCATTTCTTTTCCCTCTTTGAAACTCACATGGATGATCATGAACCTCCAACACTTAGAAGGTTGAGACCAACATGTGAGGATTCAAAAGATGAGTGCCCATAGGACTATTTGGACTTATGACTACCCTGGGTGGCTAGGGCTTGGTCTTTCACATGCTCAAGCACATCACAACGTCCCACTTGTCCCAAAACCCTACCAACCTTTTTCGCACTTTAAGAAACTCACATGGATATCCCGAGCTTCTAATCTCTGGTTGAGGTGACTAAGATCAACATGTGAAGGTTCATGAAGGGGTTCCCTTTTGGTTAGGTTTGGTCCCAAGATGGTTAAGTATGGCTAAGAACCATGACCAAATACCCCCAAACCCTAAATCCATCTAAAATACTCAATTTTGCCAAAACTTTCAAAATTACTAAATAGCCCCTGGAACCTTAAAAATTTCAAAAATAACTCAAATTATCAATTCTCTAAAAAAAATCATGTCAAAGCATTCTAAACCATCCAAATTGACCATAACACCCCAAAAATTTCAAAATTCCCAAAGTACCCCTAAATTTGCCAAAATTACCAAAATGCCCCTCATGACCCAAAAATTCCCAAAACCTCTCAAATCATTCCAAACCACCTCTAAACCAATCCCAACCACCCAATGGGCCCAATTTGACCAAATTGACCAATTTTGCCCCTAAAGATCCAAAACCCCTAATTTGCACCGAATTGATCAAATTGGCTCCCAATTTTCACTTAATTCACTCCTAACCTACCCGATTTCAAAGTTCAAATTCAATTTCAATTAAACCCAAGCCCAATTTGATAAACGCATGGTTAATTTCAAATTAAATCCTTCAAGCGTACTTTAAAAGTCCATTTGCATAAACAAATTTCAAAAGCCCATGGGATTAACTTTAATAGCCCAAATTGAGCTCACATGACAAAAATTCCTTTCTCATCATCCCATTTTAATTTAAATAATCATCATGGACATCATAACAATCATACCATGCATACAAATGAACTTTTATCTAAATTGGGCATGATGGCATCTTCTCCCCAAAAATTTCATAAAAATAAATTTCCTTTTGCATGAAAGTTCCCCATGGCATCATACATGGCATGACATATCCCATGGTGCCTTCCATGGACATTATAAGGTCAAACTTACCAAATATGGCAAAAGGAGGTGACCACTCCCTCTCTCTCCTTCATTTGGAATTTCCCTCTTCATGATTCATTTAAACCTTTGTCTCAAGACCAACCCAACCATTTGACCTCACCCAAACCTTCCTTAGGGCCAGTCCAAGCACCCTAACCACTTTGGGACGAAACTGAGCCACTTGAACAAGGGTTTGAACGCAACATAGCATACATAGCCTAAGTCCCATTTTTTCATTGGTTCGTCACCTTGGAGCTTACTAAAAACCAAATTGAGCTGACCACTCAGTCCCCCTGACTTCCCTGAGCTCAGAGGTGACCTGACCCTGGCCAGCTGACCACCTTAGCCACCAGAAGACCCCATGCCTGAGAGGTCCCAATTGGAGAAAAACCAAAATTAAACCGACCTGAGCTGGCTCAACCTAATTGGCCATTAGAGCTCTTCTTCTCTCCACCTAAGTGGCTACCTTGCCACCATGACATGCCCTGTTGGCCACCAAAGTCCTCTCTATAAAAAGGAGACCTCTCACGACCAAATGGAGAAGTGTTGAAACCTTAACCAAACTCTGCCAAAATTTCTCCAAACCCTCTAGCAGTCCAGAGAAGCTAATCCCCACCATTTCCTCGCCCTAATCCCCACTGCCAAAGCTTAATTTCTTCACCTAATTTCAGAGCTCTTCACTTCCCTACCTTGAACCTCATCAATTCCCCAAAATGATGAGCTCTTGAGCTTCACCAGAGTTGGAGAGGAAGTTCCCCACTCAAATCCCCATCCTTAGAGCCCTCTACCATAGAACTAAACCAAGCCTGTGCTACCCCTCGATTGAGCTCATACTCAGACCCAACCCCTGATCAAATTGGCACTTGAAGGAGGTTCGCCAACTCACAACGAAGCTTAGGAACAAATCCAATTGAGGCTACACCTCCTGGACAAATGTATTAATCAAAACACCAAAATTTGGTCTCGATTTGGGCTTTTATGAGAAAAATTTTAATTTCATGAGCATGTAACCGTATGAATGTGTTCGTCTCACCTCGATAAAGGTGTAGGAACAAACTTTGCATTATTTATTTGAGAATCAAGGGAGAAACTAGGTTTAGAAAATGAACGATTTACGAGTTAAGCCACTTGCGGATGATGACCAGAAGCCGTCTGATCCCGCGTGTATTGGACGGATAGATCAGGTCGCACCAGACGAATAGATGGAGCGATAAAGGCGGGACTCATAGCCGTTGACTCAGAAGGTGACATCCAGTAGCGTGGCGACACGTGGAAAGCTCATAGCTGCCAAGGATTACGTGGTGCTGGCGTGGATAAATAGAAAAATAGCATATTTTTTATTTAAATTAATTCATAAACTTAGAAAATTCATCACTTGGAGTAGAGAAATCAAGTAGAGAAATCTTAAAAATAAAAGAAAAATATCTCTGTGCTCAGTGATAAAGGAGAATCATGTGGACTAAAAAATAAAAAAATTTATTTGACTTATATTTATTTTAAAATTAATTAAAAAACTCTAAATCCTGTTTAAAATAGAGGAAATTAAATAATAATGATCATGGTGTTAAATTTGGAGGGTTTACCCTCTCTGTGTTCAAGAATATTCTCTAATTTTTTCAAATTCAGAGAACACTTCTAGCATGACAAACCCTAATTTCCTAAGTCATATATTTACTTAAAATAATTATATAAATTGAAAAGAAAAGTCAGAAAATTATGAAACTTATTTTGGTAGGTTTTCTATGGTTAGAGGAACATAAGAAAAATAAAATCTAAGTTTAAATGTTATTGTAACATAATTTCTGAATTTAATTTTCGTAACATAATTTCTTGATTTAAGTCATTAAAACCTTTAAAAATTGAAATAAATAAAATATACTTTAGAAAGCCATAACAATTGATCCTTGCTGAAGGTATTAAACATACTAACTCTCTGTAAAATTTTTAAACCATTTTAAATTAATTTAACCGCTAAAGTTTATTTTTGTAAGAAAAATGAAATTTTGGCATTAAAATAATTATAATAATTAAAATATAACTCAAAAAAATTTGAAAAGTCGTTTTGGGAGTTCCCTGTGAATAGAGACATCTAAGAAAAAAAATTGACATTAAAATAAATAGTGTATTTTTGGGTTATTTTTAAATTTAAAAATAATTAAAAAATTTAAAAAATCATAAAAAATACATAAATGTACAAAAATGTTCCTAATTGTTCTCTGACCACTTGAGATCAATTCTAATATTTTTTATAATTTTCTAAATAAAGATATGCATTTTTAAGTGCCAAACAAATGTATTTTCCTAAATTTTCACTAAAATAATTATAAAAATAAAATAAATATTTTTAACTTTTTAAGAAACTAAAATAAAATTTTAACTACAAAATATTCTCTCATCAAAATAAACCTCTAATAATTTTCTTACAGACACAACTTTTCGTGCTAACATATTGTTTTTATATACACGTGCCATCTATCATTCTACATTGATAAACCATACACAAGTGCTGGAATCGACCCCAACAACAAGCCTCGCATCAGAACCCGTTGGATCGGTCTTCTCCCGGCAAGCCACGAGACTTTTCACTTCCAACGGCGAGAAAACGGTCGCAACCGAGCTGACATGACAAACGTCTGCCAATGACCACTCCACCGTCTGATTAAAATCAAACGCCAGCAGCCTAGTCTCTGTGAGTCAGCCCCGCCATACACTGAACTGCGGCTCTGCTCCTTCTACGTTCCCCCCAATCTTCCTCTTCCTTTCCTCAATCCCTCGGTCATGGCAGGGTGCTCCCTCGACGATACGAGGGCGGAGTTCTGCCGAAACTCCACCGAGGCCACAAAATTGAAGCTGGTTTCAATTATAATCATTCTAGCATCCAGCGCCGTCGGGATTTCGTCGCCAGTAGCCCTCGCTCGCCTCTTTGCCAAAAGTCCCGCCTACACAAACGCGCTCCTCGTCATCAAGTGCTTCGCCGCTGGGGTCATCCTTTCGACATCTCTTGTACATGTACTACCTGACGCTTTCGCCGCCCTTGCTGACTGCCAGATTGCTACCCGCCATCCATGGCGCGACTTCCCTTTCTCCGGCTTGGTATCTCTCATCGGTGCCCTCCTTGCCCTTCTTGTAGACGTCACCGCTTCTTCCCATGCCACCGAGGATGCCACCAATTATGTAAGAGTCGGGTTAGAGGAGGTGGGAAAAGGCGTGGAGAAGCAGAACTCTCCGTCTTCTGCGATAGCGGATGTTGCGTGCCACGGTCATGGGCATCAGGGGGAAGAGATGATTGATGTGGGATTGGATGGGTTGGATGAAGAGGAGCGGTTGGTGAAGTTGAAGCAGAGGATGGTGTCGCAGGTTCTTGAGATCGGGATAATTTTCCATTCCGTGATTATTGGTTTGACAATGGGGATGTCCCAGAACCAATGTACTATTCGGCCACTGGTAGCTGCCCTCGCCTTCCACCAAATCTTTGAGGGCATGGGACTCGGGGGATGCATAGCCCAGGTGAAAGACCTCCTTCTAATTAGTGATTTTGATCATTTTGCTTCAGTTTAGATTGAAAAGGGCTCTTCTTGGAAACCCTAAACGAACTCGTTGCATATTCTCATTCTCATTCTCAAAATTGCAATTTTAATCTAATTTCACGATCTCTTTGTCTTGATATGAATGATATGGATGCAACTACTCTTAATTTTCGGGAATTGCTCCTGTAATATTGATTTAAATAGCAGTCGTTTGTAAGTCGACTTTTTTTTTTCTTTTCTATGTTTGCCAATCCTTTTATGAGTAAATATTCTTAGAATACGAGCATGCACTTCCACAAAAGTGTATATAACGTTGGAGTCCGCAATTCTGAAGTGCTAAGTTTATATAATTGCTTTTAGAGTATTACCCCTTGACGGAATCATTCTACCTAACTCTATATTTGTTATCTTGGATAAGTAAATTCTTTGATCTATGCATTTTGGAGAATCTTTAATTGCTCTTTGTTGTAGGCCGTGAAAGGTATGCATATTCATTACGATTTTTGATTAGTTTGGTTTGCCTTTTAATTCCTTCACGTGAATATCATTGCCTTGCTGCACGGAAGGCTTGGGCAAGGAAGGCTTGAATTGGGGGAAGCGCTTCATTATGGGAGATGTTATTTTGGATGGGATGCATAATGTTGCATACATGGATCTTAAAGCAGAGTGAGTGGTTTGTCAAGTCACGTGCGTTAGTGGGGATCTACTAAGAACTCACCTTTTTCTTTTTCTTTCTTTTTAAATTAGTTAGGCTGATTTCATACTTGGTTGATTTTTCCTACCAGCAGGGCTAACCAAAGTGATTGATACTATCAAGTTATTTTCACTTTATTTTAATTTGTTAATCATTGTTGCGGTTGTAAGAATTTCAATTCGATCAAGTATAAATTTGTTTGCAAATTACACATCTTTGAATTATCATGTTTTGAACATTTTGTTTTAGAAGAATTGACATCAAGAGCTAGCAGATTGTCTTTTAGTTATGTGAGTACTATTATTAAATTATAGTATCATTTTAATATCTCTTCTAAACCAGTTTTATGAGATGTTAATATGCTTGATTAATACAATTGATTGTTTTATTATTAAATTTTATCAGCTATTTCGATGCAAATGCTTACAATCTCATAATATGAAATAATTAATGCATTATAGTATTACATGTTGACATGTTGACTGATATGAAATTATATTATGAATAATATGACTTACATAGATTACTTATATGTGCATAACTGACTAGGATGAAATCATCTCTTGATAGTACTAGTTGAGAAGCATTAATATACTCATGCGCACAAGTGAAAAATGATATTAATATCGAAGTACGTTAATTAGCACAAAATCTTCGATAGTGCTCCTGCGATGGTTGTATAGATATGACATGATATTGATATGTTGTTGATATAATTAAACTATTTGAATATTATCAAATATTTATATTGATTTATTAATAAGTTTAATTGAAATGCATATTACTTTTTTTTTCCATGTGTTATTGTAGTTTATGAGTTTGAGTATTCACTGATTTGTTTAACTCACAATTATTTTAAACTAATTTTTCAGGTTAATTAAGTGATTGAAAGATGAAAGATTGAAAATAACATGGATAAAAGACATGGAAAATCAGTAACAAGTTAAATGTAATTTTATTGTTTTAATTTAATTTAATTAGTGGTCTTTTCATCCGCTAAATAGCAAATGAATATATAAAATTTAGTTCCCACGGTCCGACCGTCTATTCCCATCTTGATTAATTTCAAGCCCCAGGCTGAGTTGCGACAAAAGTGGTATTGGAGCACAAGGTATACAATTAATTAATGAAATCTTAATGAAAGAGCCCATAGGCTAAAAACAAAAATTAAAAGTGCAAGTTAACTTAAAAAAGTATTTATATCCATTCAAGCTTAGTGATACACCCGAAATTATAGAATAAAAGAACCCAATAGAAAACAAAGAAGTACAACCCACTATAAATGTGAATGTTAGTGTTCTAACCCAAATAATGGTGGCAATGAGTCAATTAATTTAGGAGTTGAGATTGCAATTTATCAAAAGTGTTGTAGTCACTGTGGATAATTACTTGAAGATATTTCAAGATATGCGTCCATCTCTGTTTAAGAGAACTGAAGACCAATTAAAGTGGAGAACTGATTAATGAGGACTGAGAAGATACTAAATAACATGGTTTGTTCGGATGAAAAAAGAGTACCGTTGATGATGCTCGTGCTGGATGAAAAAGTCGAAAGATGTTGGCTTAGGCAACGTCATGATAAGCTAGGGGAGATACCTAATATGATGGTCAGTTGGGAGGAATCCATTGAGATATTCAGAGAATAATTTGTACTTCTACTCGCTTAAAGACAAATGCAGGACAGGTTCGTCAAGTTCAGACAAAGAGAGAAAACGGTCATGCAATATGAAGCATAATTCACTGTACGGTCGAGGTATGCTCCACAGTTGATCGCTACTGCAAAAAAAAATACTACAGTTTCCTTTTAGGATTAAATGATTTAATCAGACAGCTGTTGGTACCTTTAGGGATCGATCAATATTCGGTATTAATGAAACACACAAGAAGAGTGGAGATCGACTATCAGCTTACTCAGAAGTGTAAGGAGATTCACAAGAGGAAAACTGCAGAAGAACATGTAGATCACTCAGAAGGATCCAATAAGAAGAAGTTCAAGAATAATTTGGGCGGAGTTAGCAGAGGTACGACTCAGGTAATGGAGGCACTTGTGTCAAGTGCGGAAGACAACATAAAGGTTATTGCTTGATGGGTTCTAACACTTGCTATTGCTATCGTCAGCCTGGTCTTATAGCAAGGTATTGTCCATCTTTTGGCCAAAAAAGCGCTAAAGATTTGAAATCCGGTGGAACTCCTTTACAGAAGACTGCAGGTGGGCAAAAAATGATAGTCTATTGCTTCAATTTTGACCCAAGATTAGCCAAGGCAACCTATTTGATCTCAAGTATATTCCCTTACTCATAGTGAGCGTGAAGAACCTTCTACTGGTAATGGTAATGAAGTCTGATGAGTTTGGCCTATTTTCCTAAAAATACTCTCTTATTTTAGTATTGTTATCTGATGTATAGCTGATTCGCCTTGTATCAAGTTTTCACCTTATGGTGGTTACTTTTCATATTAATAAATGACCCCTAGTTTCATGGATAGCTAATGTTGTCATACTTAATAAGATGTGACTTGTGGTCCATTTTTTTTAATTTTGAGGATGATTTTTGTGAGTGGGGAAGATTGTAACGTTCGATTTAGTTACTCGGGAAAAGAAACGATGAGTTGAAGGAGAAGCAATGAGGAAACCAAAGGAAAATAGAAGAGGAATTGAATATACGAGAAACTAAAGAGTGTAGAGAGGAAGCCCGGTAGTTGGAATTGAAATAGGTGAATTTGCCTATAAAATTATCGCAAGCTAATCATGGGAAGAAGCCACAACTTACCTAAGAGTCGAACTACGAGAGTTGAATCTGTGCCATCCAGTCGAACCAACGACGTCGTGCTTGCGAGCAGAAAGGAGGATGTGACGTCTCTGTCTAGCAGTGGAGGAAGGTGATAGCATCCTCGAAGCACGTGAGCCACTGAAGAGAGAGAGTGTGGCGAACGACTTGTGGCATTCAGTGCGAAGGAAGAAGATGAGCGACTCTGCACAGAGGAGGCACGGCTTCGTGTGAGGGAATAAGAAAAGCAACTCGTGTGGATGATATGTTGATTGCATGAGCAAATATGGAGAAGATCGGATTCTTAAATGAGTAATTGTTGAGGTAGTTTAAAATGAATGATTTATGCTAAGCAAAAAAATGATCAGTACGAGAATCAGTAGGGATAGAAGTGCAACTACAATGAAGTAATCTCAAACAAAATATGCTGATAAGGTCTTGCATCGATTCAACTTAAGCGAGGCAATTTGTTTGCACCCTCTTAGGTATTCACTTTAAACTATGCAAAGAACAATCATATAAGTTTGAAGAAGAGCAAACACATATAAGAAAAAATCCGTATGCTTCAACAGTTGAAAGGTCTATATATACGATAATATGTAAAAGACTAGATATTACACATGCAATAAAAGTGGTTGGCATGTATATAAGTAATCTAGAGAAACATCATTGGGTAACAGTGAATTGAATTCTTAAATACTTGGGAAGAACAATAAAAAAAACACTTTGCTTTGAAAATGCGGAGATTAATCTATAGGAATGTATAAATTCATGTTTGACAGGAGATGTTGATGATAGAAGCAGTACAATATGTTATGTCTTTATTTTAGGAATATAACAGTGAGTTGGGGTTTTAGGTTATAAAATATTATTGCATTATCTGCTACAGAAGTTGAGTATATTGTTGCCACTGAGATTAACAAAGTCATTTTACCGTAGAGCTTTATGGCAGAATTGAGCTAGAAGCAATGGATTGAAAAGCTTCATATTGACATTATTAGTGGCATTCATCTAGCAAAGAACGTCGAATTTCATGTCAGGACAAAATACATTTAGCTAAGGTATCATTATATTTGTTCACCCTTAGAAGATGATTAATTATTTTTTGAAAAAAATACACAACTTAGAATTTTACAGACATTGTTGACGAAGGTTGTAACTATTGAGAAATTGAAATTATGATTGGCTTCCGTTGGAGTTCAGTAAGGTTGGGACAAGGACGAGCCACACTATAGTTCATTACTATTAAGTTGTTGTAGATTTGGAGGAGCGAAATTGATTTCAATCAGTCTCCAAGTGTGGGATTTGTATATGTGGAACTTGATTGTGTTGATCAATTGTTCACTTGGAGCCCTAATTTTATTCGTTCATGCTTTACGGTGAATTTGCTGGGGGATACCGGGGGTGCCCCCTGTTTTGGGTTCGACTGGTGGTGCCTCGGAAAAATTTTATTTCATGGATTGAGCATTGTAGGGTCCGAATGCAATGCCATGCTTCTTGGAACTATAGTACACTAAGGCT